GCTGAGTCCTGGATGGAGATTTTCCACCTGTGGTCACTTGAGCTGAGGCATCTCCAGTGGGAAAAACACTCTTTAATCCAGGGGAAAATAACCCAAACAGGGATGTGACCCTGGCCAGCACTAAGATCTTTATTCTTTTTTTAAACTTTTTTCTTTATTTATACTTTATTCTTTATCCTTTACATTTTATTTCTTATTATATATATATTTATTATATATATTATATATATATTCTTATTCTTTACTCTTATTCTTTGTTCTTACTGTTTACTAAAGTTACCAGCCTGACGCTGACTCTTACTATTGCCAGCAGGACATGACAGTATCCACATATGCCTGCTCTTTAGATGCCCATTTCCCCTTCAAAGCTGTATTCATCTACTTCTGAACAAAATCCATTCCTTTTCCTCTGTGATTTTTGTTACTTCTTGATACCATTACTCTCTGTGGTCACCTCCAAGAGGTGCAAAATGGTCACAGGTGTCCCTCTAGGTATCAGAAGGCCAAAGATTTGAAATAACTGTCTAGGAACTCATGGATCAGGATTTCTTATACAACACCACCATCTATTGGACGTTGCTGGGAATATCCACTCCTTTTTATTTTAGATAAAATCTTTTTTCTTACGTGCTGGGAGTGCTTTTTTCTTACGTGCTTGTCTTACAAGCCAAGTGGCTTGTTCTTGCCCAGGAAACTGAGAAATTATAGATAAATAAACTAAGGCCATCATGTTGCCTCTACAGTTGGCTGATCCTATGTAGACAGTTTATTTCCTGACCCTGTTAAGGCAATGTCAGATAGTTTAACAGCTTCAAAGTCCCCTCACATTTAGAAATGATGCTTTAAACCCCACTTTTCCTAGTGCAGTTCTTGGCTGAGGCTTCAGGTTTTATGAAATGTAGATTATTGTAGAATCATAGAGTGGTTTGGGTTGGAAAGGACCTTGGTTCCAACCCCCTGCCATGGTCAGGGACGCCGCACACTAGACCATGTCATCCAAGACCCTGTGTCCAACCTGACCTAGAACATTGCCAGGCATGGGGCAGCCACAGCTTCTCTGGGCACCCTGTGCCAGCGCCTCAGCACCCTCACAGGGAACAGCTTCTGCTTTACATCCAACCTGAACTCCCCCTGTTTCAGTTTGAACCCATCACTCCTTGTCTTGTCACTCCAGTCCCTGATGAAGAGTCCCTCTCCAGCATCCTTGTAGCCCCCTTCAGACACTGGAAGCTGCTCTGAGGTCTCCACACAGCTTCTTTTCTCCATTCTGCACAGCCCCAATGTTCTCAGCCTGGCTCCATACAGGAGCTGCTTCAGCCCCTGATCATCCTCATGGCCTCCTCTGCACTTTATCCATGTCCTTCTGTTGCTGAGGATATCAAAATCACTCTGCCTTTTAAATGGTTTTTCTCTTAAATATTCTGTGCTATCCATACACAATTTGAAGTGCTAATTCATGGTGTTTTAAATGATTCCTTTCTCCATCAGTTGTTTCCTACAGATTCACAGATCCCTCTCCGAAAGTATCCCCATTGCACATCTTTACTCCTGACAAAGCCATTCCAGATTTTATAATGAAAGCAAACAAAAAAAAACATCAGATCTCAAATCAGGTAAGGTCTCAACCTTTATCCCATGGAGGTGAAGGATTTAATTCCTTGTTGTTGATATACGTAAATCACACCCATCAGCACCTAAATAATCCCTGGGGAGCAGCTGGGCTTATTTAGGTGCTCTCTGGTGCTGAATTGAATGGGTGAGGATGCCTATACAGTAACCAAGTTCCTGGGCTACTGGTAGATCCATCCTGGTAACCTGCATGGGGTAGGAAACCCACCTTTTGTTACAGAACATTAAGTGCTAGGCAGGAATAACCAGGGTCATTCCCTACTAGGGCTTTTGGGGAGTAAAGAGGTGACTTCTGTCCTTTCCTGGAAGGCCCTGCAGCCCCCCCTCTCATCTTTGGGAGCACAGTAATGGAAGCATTTCTGATTGAAAAGTAAAGGCAGCTGCTTCAAAATGAAAAGGAAGTTGTGCTTTTATATTTTCATTCTAAGTAGCAGCATAAACTGAGATAAAGGAGAGCTGTATTTTCCCTACACTGAGGGTTGAACACATCTAAGAGTGCTTCCCAAGAGGTAATCTTGTTTTTGAATACGAATATGAGACAGTACATACTGGTATGTACTAAAAAAACTACCTTTGGGGATGTTTGAAGGCTGGATAAAACTCTTAAAGGCAACGATTTGGGGCTGATATTGTTCAAATAAGACCTTCCGGTGCCATTAATTTTAAAACCTGTTGGGTGTATCCTGACCTGGCTCTTGGGAGCCCTTTGGGCTGACCCTTGCCTGGTCTGACAGCTCCCTGGTGCTTAATGTGTAATCCCCTGACTTGTTTCACCCCTGGCTCTGTGAATACCACAAAGGACAAGGCTCTGGAAGGACGGGTAGATGCTGCATGGGGGAAGACAGAGCAGCATTACCCTTCTAGCTGGAGCCTGGAGAAGCTGGGAGTATTAAAACCCATTTCAAGTGGATCTGAGAGCAAAGAGGAAGAAATCCCTGATATGAAAACCCTGCTTTGTCCTGTGGCATCCACAGGATCCACAGGCCTTGTAGCAAACCTTACCTCCTCTGCTTTATTTCAGGGCAGCAGAAACCATCCCCTTGAGGAACCAGAGGGATGCTGGTGCTGTGAGCATGGGGCTCTTTTGCTTCCTATTTTAAACGATCCTTTTCTTTACTCATTTGATAGTTTGTGCTGTATGACTCTCGAAAGAACAGCTAACCAGTGCATTATAACTTTATATATCTGGCACCTTCCCCTTGTGCCTGTACTGAAATCTTGAGGATGACATCCACCATGATGGCTTTGGACTGCGTGAGGGGAGACTGAGATGAGCTCTTAGGCAGAAGCTCTTCCCTGTGAGGGTGCTGAGGTGCTGGCACAGGGTGCCCCGAGAAGCTGTGGCTGCCCCATCCCTGGCAGTGTTCAAGGCCAGGTTGGACACAGGGGCTTGGAGCAAGCTGCTCTAGTGGAAGGGGTCCCTGCCCGTGGCAGGGGTTGGTGCTGGATGAGCCTTAAGTTCCCTTCCAAAACAAACCTCTCTGGGATTCTATGGTTCTATGAGAACAAGCTCACTGCTACCTAACCAGGAGGTTGTGCTGCAAGGTTTTTCTTTGCTGTAGGATCTCAACAGCAGTCGGTTGTTCCCTTATCCATGTCAAGAGTTACATCTTGGATAACACTAGCAACAGTCTGCTAGTTACCAAATCGGAGTAGGAAAGCCACAAATGGAACTCCTTTCCCCAGGAATACAGAGATAAATATTCAGTTAACTCTTCAGCAGAGTGTGGACCCACAACCTGCATGAATAATATCTAAATGAAGTGAGCAAGGTATGGGTTTTCAGATTAATTTATCTCCATTCCAGTGAGTGTGCGCAAGCTGCAGGGAGATGTGATTGCTGGGGGAAGCTGTCGTGTATAGCACAAGCTGCAGCCTTAGAAACATCCCAGGTTTCATATCTGCACCTTGGATCACTTCAGACCAAGCACTTGGTTTGTCAAGCAAGAAAAAGCGAGGGTGAGCCTTTGTTAATTGTGAGCTTCAGGTCAATTGTCCCCTGGCAGGAGATGTGTGTGTCTGGGCAGGTGGATGCTGCCTCAGGGGGAGGATTGAGCCCCAGACCCAAACAGTTTGATTTTCATTACTTGGGTCACATCTTCCAGCTCCATGGTGATGTTTCAGGAGCTGCTTTGCCTCCGGCATCTCTATGTGAGCAGTGAAAAGCAGCTCTAAATCCCAATTAATAACACCAGGAGACCACCCGCGTTGCTCACAGGACATCTGAAATGAGGAGTCTGGCTCTGGAGGGGGAGCTCACCCCTTCAGCAAAAGGTCATCAAATAATGATGACTTAAGCATGGCTCTGCTTGTCAGATACCAGCCACGCGCACTCCTGCTTTGCTCCCTGGTGTAACTCTGTCAAGTGATGATTAATGTTAGGCCGGAAAAATCAATGGAGATTTATTCTGCCTGTTGTAAGCTGTGATATTTGGAGCTGCTGATTTCTCCCTGGGAGAACTTATCTTTGGTCAAACCCGAATGTATCTTTTGTCTCCAAGTTAGCATAGTGTCTAAAGCAAAGTAGGGTGAGAAATCCTGGTTCTGCACTATCCTACCCTAAGGAAAGCCACATTTGCTCTCAAAGAGCTCCTCCTGGGTCACAGAGAACAGCTATTTATTCCTCATGTACTCACACTAGACTGGCAGCACCCAAAAGATGAGAAATAATTCCCTTTTCCCAGCAGTTACTCAGGAATTCAAGGACTTCCATGTGTCAATGGCTTGATTGGAACTATGAGGAACCCTGCAGTTTATTCATTCTGGTGTTGCCCTCCCTCCTTTGCCTTAAAGTATCTACTTGCTTCTAAGTGTGTTTGTGATGGTTGTGGTGTTTAGCCTTGGGAACTTGGTGTTTTCCTCTCTCAAAGAGAATTTACCTTATATTGACTTGTATGTATGTAAGTGGTGTAACTGATTGATAGACAAAACCTGACATTCTTAACATTATTGAGGGATTTGGGCCTATTCAGCATTTCAATTTGAAGACATAAATCAGGCAAACTGCTTATAGGTTCACTATGGTTGAAGATAATTATACGTCCCCCTCTGAGCTTATTCTCCTGGGCTTCACAAAACAGGGAAGACCTGTGGGTGATGTGCTTTGTCTTATTCCTTGCCATCTATGTGGTTACCTTCATAGGAAACCTGGGAGTAATTGCATTAATCAGAATGGATTCCTGCCTACACACCCCCATGTACTTCTTCCTAAGCCACTTCTCTCTCCTGGATGTCTGCTGCTCCTCTACCATCATCCCTCAAGCCTTGCTCCATGTTCTATGGAGCAGAAGGTGATTTCCTTCATTAGATGTGCCACTCAGCTCTTCTGCTTAGCAACCTGTGCCACCACAGAGTGCTATGTGCTGGCTGCTATGGCTTACGATCACTACGTGGCCATTTGTAACCCCCTTCTCTACTCCATGGTCATGTCCCAAAGGCTTTGCATTGGGATGTTGGCTGGTGCCTACTTAGCTGGCGTGATCAGCTCTACCATACACACGGTTTCCATATCTCATCTGCTGTTCTGTCGGTCCAAGACGATCAATCACTTCTTCTGTGATGGACCACCACTGCTAGCCCTCTCCTGCTCTGACACCCCTGCCATCGAGGTGATGGCTGCTGCCGTGGTGGGGTTCAAGGTACTGAGCACCACGGTCTTCATCCTCATCTCCTACTTGTCGGTCCTTTCCATTGTCATGCGGATGCAGTCTGTGGTTGGTCAACGCAAAGCTTTCTCCACCTGTGCCTCTCACTTCATCTCCATTGCTTTCTACTACGGCAGCTTCCTCTTCATGTACCTGCACCCCATCTCCAGCAAGTCCTCAAAGCATGATGAGGTGGTCTCCATGACGCACTCTGTGGCTGTCCCCATACTGAATCCACTCATCTACAGCCTAAGAAATGCAGATATGAAGAATGCCATGAGGAAAGCAAAAAGTAGAGTCCTCTGCTCTTTGTCCACTCATGGTTCCTAGTCAGCTGAAAGGAGAGGGCTACCCTGCCCTGGTGAGGAGAACAAGCAGGCTGGATATTGCACCTTCAAGGATGGCTGGATATTACACGTTGAAGAGGATGGTTGGATATAGCACCTTCAAGGATGGGTGGATATAGCACCTTCCCAAAGAAGGAACTAAACATACTTGGAATCATGACAGCTGGAAAACACGCTTCTCCTTAAACCAAGGCTACATTCTGTGCTGGCATGGACAGGACTTTCTCTGGCTGCAGCCTGAGACCTGACAGTGACTGTGTACTGGAAAGAAAGTTGTTGTCCAAAGTCATTGTTACTTAAATATTACTTGAAGTTAATATATTTTATTATTTAAACGTTATTAGACATAGCAATAAACTTTATTTCAGGCTTCAGAGTGCAAAAGGGAGAAGGTAGCTGGCGTCTTTGCCCTGCTGGCATCAAACCAGCAGATATCTAAGCTCATGTTTTATATTAGCAAATGATTTCTGGTGTTATTTCTGGTTTTAAGGAAATATTAACTGATATTTCCAGGTATTTCAACTCCAGCCCACAAGGTTTGGTCACGTGAAATGACAGAGGGGATTTTGAGATGAGCTCTTAGGCAAAAGCTCTTCCCTGGGAGGGTGCTGAGGCACTGGCAAAGGGTGCCCAGAGAAGCTGTGGCTGCCCCATCCCTGGCAGTGTTCAAGGCCAGGTTGGACACAGGGGCTTGGAGCAAGCTTCCCTAGTACAAGGTGTCCCTGCCCGTGGCAGGGGTTGGAACTGGAGGGCCTTTAAGGTCCCTTCCAACACAAACCAGGCTGCAATTCTAAGAAATAAAGCTGTCAGTCTCTTGAAGTCAAAGCCCTTGTGGGAAATGGGGACAAGTCATATCTGAGCCTCTGCTCTGCTGTGATTTTAAGTAGGGTTGTAAAAAACCTGAGTGCTGTTAGGAGGGAGGATTTGGGGTCCTCCTCCCCCCTGAAAAGCCAAGGTTCTGCTGGCCTGGGTCCCCTGACAAAGCTGATGGAGCAAGTGCAGTACCCACCTGTCTGCATATGGGACTTCAAGCTGCATTACTCACCCTGCACAAGTGCACCCAGGCATTCTTAGTGGCCTTTTTTGCCTTCATGTTGTTCCTTTAAATGATCTTTGAATTATATATTTTTCTTCTTTCCAGAAATTGATTGAGAGTTATTTCTCTCTCTGTTATATTGATTTTCCCACTTCATAAGCCTTTGCTTTAGCCCAGTACCCAATGGGGAAGAAAGACATTCAAAACCACTCAGAAATCCTTTTCTGCCTTCCTCCAGTCCATCTCCTGGACTGTCAGTCTGTTGCTTTCTAGCAGAAAACAAGGTTTGCATTGAAAACATTTAAAGCGACCTGTTTGCCCCATCCTTTGTGTTTTCTAAATGTCTGGGACAAGGTTATCAGTTAATTTTTTTACCAAGGGTTTTATAATATCTCTTCATGTAGGAGAAGCATTCAGGACACACCAGCACTCAGGATTCTTCAGATGAAGGCTGGGAAATCTGACTTCATCCTGCTATATCCTCAAAGCATCCACGTTTTGAGCCAATGCTTTTGACCAAAGTGTTGTACAATCACTAGTCAAGTGTATGGAAATAAAGCTGTCTTTTGGAAACTAATCCCCATGAGCACCTCAAACCATCCACACAGAGGATGCTTTGTTGTGTTTTCAGCTCCCTTCAATGCAATATTAGATGATCTCTGTGGAAGTAAAGGGAAACACTGAAAGGAAGAGGTATGTGATAGATGGGGAAAGACAGAGCAAACTGTCCTGGGCCTGCCTTCCTGGGTAGGTCTCTGCAGGAGAACTGGTCTTGGAGGTGTTAATGCAGCCAGAAGGAGTTTGGGGAGAGAGGAATTGAGAGGTTGTTTTGCTGATCAAGTCAAACTAATTATCCGAGGGAGGAGGATCCTTGGGAGAACAGTTTGCACAACACAAGCCTCTGAGGTAATGCCTCCTGTGAGATAAAACCCCTCCACCAGCCAGCCTGGAGCATCCTGCTCCCAAGCATCTCTCCTTCAACCCATCGCATGGTCTCCAGGAGGAGCTGCAGGCACTGCATCCACCACCACCTTCCTCTTTAACCAAGCAGGTACAAAAGGGTTTGATGGGTGGTGGGTCCAGTTTGACCCTGGTCATGCTGCCTCTCCCATGCTTTGATGACATGTTGAATTTCACTCTTCTTCAGGGACTGTAGCGATAGGGCAAGGGGTGATGGGTTTAAACTGAAACAGGAAAAATTAGGTTTGAAATAAGGAAGAAGTGCTTTACTGTGAGGGTGCTGAGGTGCTGGCACAGGGTGCCCAGAGAAGCTGAGGCTGCCCCATCCCTGGCAGTGTTCAAGGCCAGGTTGGACACGGGGGCTTGGATCAAGCTGCTCTAGTGGAAGGGGTCCCTGCCCGTGGGAGGGTTTGGATCTGGGTGAGCTTTAAGGTCCCATCAACCCAAACCATCCCATAATAACCCATGGTGTGAATAAAAGTGTCCTAGTATGCCTAGTAGGTTTGCTTCAAAAACACCAGCACTCCTGACCCCATCTACAACAGATTTAGCGATATTTTAGCATGAGAATATCCAAGCTAAAGCCTTAAAATTTTCCTTTATATTTGGTGTATTTTGTATTTTAAACCCTCTAGGTGGATATTTGGGTTGGTCATAGGAAGCTCACTGCAATCACAGGAGAGCTCTGCTGGAGCCAAGTCCACTGCTTTCCCTTAACCTTATTCAGGGTGAGGGTCCCTCAAAAGCAGATAAACTTAGAACCAAAAGCAAATTTCAAGTACATGGCTTTGTGTTGTGATGAAAACAATGCAGCACAAGTGATGAATCTACAGAAGAGCACTGATCCACTCTGAAAAATACAAAAAGGAGAAAAAAAAATCCTTAAAATTCCCAGAAATCAGTGAAGAAAATACAAAATCTTTTCTGTTTTCCACATTCTGAGATGTATTTATTAGATTTTATTGTATTACACTTTGATAGACATGATGTTTCCCTGTGTATCATTAGTGCAGTGTATATCAATCATGGTAGAATTATTCTCTTTGAATTTCAGGCTCTGTAATGAGCTCCTTCGCTTCTCTGACTTCAGATCTTGGGCTGCACACAGAAATACACCGTTACAAATACACCATTTTCCATTGCATTTACTTTATGGATTATATTCCAACTAAACTTCCACATTATTTCTTTTGTAGTTATGTATTTCACTGATTCCTTTCAATCCAAATCCATCAACTTGTTGAAATGACAGATACAGGAAACCTCACTGTTTTCTCCAGCTTCATCCTCTTGGGTTTCTCTGATGCCCCAGAGCTACAAAACACCATCTTCACAGTCTTCTTATCCCTCTATGTTTTCATGGTGCTGGGGAACCTGACGATGATCCTGCTGATCAACACTGACCCCCACCTCCACATCCCCATGTACTTCTTCCTGAGCCACTTATCTTGCATGGATGTTTGCCTTTCCTCTGCTATCATCCCAAAAGCTCTGGAGACCTTCCTGCTGGGGAGAAGCCACATCTCCTTTTGGGGTTGCTTTGCTCAGATGTATGTTTTCATGGCTCTGGCTGCCTGTGAGTGCTTCCTGCTTGGGGTAATGGCTTACGACCGATACACGGCTGTGTGCAAGGCCCTGCTCTACACCACTACCATGACCAGGGCGCGTTGCTATGGCATGATGGTGCTGGTGTACAGCATCGGGTTCCTCACCTCCCTGGTGCACATCACGCTGGCGGGGAGGTTGTCCTTCTGTCAGGCCAGGAGCATCAACCACTTCTTCTGTGAGCTGCCCACCCTCCTGGGATCAGGCAAAGCTGGTGTCGCTGTGTTACTCCATCCTCACCCCAACCCTTAACCCCCTCATCTACAGCCTGAGGAACAAGGAGGTAAAGGGGGCTCTGAGGAAGCTGTGGGAGCGAAAGCTGCTGCCACATCTATGCAGGGTTTGAAAGCACATTTGGAGCCCTTCAGTACTGTGGAGGTAAGGAAGGAATATGTGGAATATGTGATTATGGAATTGAGCATTACTGGCCATTATTGGTCATTATAGCTCACTACTGGTCATTATTACAGCAAGTTCAGGGTACGGAGAACCAGCACAACGAATGGTTCTCTTCAAACAGCTTCAGATTGTTTTAAGCGAGGCCTGAGCCTTCAGTAATCCGTCCAAATAAGTATCAGGTATTTAATAACAGGCCTGAGAGAGCACCATGTGTTTTGTGTCTAAATTGTGCTAAATGAAAGTAGAGCCCAGAAAAAGGAGGCTCAGGCTTGAGGTAAGGTACTGACCACTGTCTCCATTGCCTACTTGATAAGCATTTCCTCAATGATGAACTGGTGGAAGGTCAAGAGGATTTGATACAGCTCTGGTGTCCCCAACACAAGGAGGACATGGAGCTGCTAGAGCAAGTCCAGAGATGCAACAAGGATGCTCAGGAGCTGGAGCACCTCCCATATGGGGCCAAGCTGAGAACATTGGGGCTGTGCAGCCTGGAGAAGAGAAGCTGCTTAGAGTCCACAGAGCAGCTTCCAGTGTTTGAAGGCTCAGCCTTGAGGTAAGGCAGTGACCACTGTCTCCATTTCCTGGTTGATAACTGTTCATCCCAAACAAGCTTGAAGTCCTGAGGGAAGGACCAAAGGTTCAATACAGCTCTGGTATCCCCTGCAGTTCTGATACAGTTTTGGTGTCCATAGAATCCTAGAATCATAAAATAGTTAGGGTTGGAATGGACCTTAAGATCATCCAGTTCCAACCCCCTGCCATGGGCAGGGACACCTTACGCTAAATCATATCACCCAAGGCTTTGTCCAACCTGGCCTTGAACACTGCAAGGGATGGAGCATTCACAGCTTCCTTGGGCAACCCATTCCAGTGCCTCACTACCCTCACAGTGAAGAACTTCTTCCTTAGATCCAATCTAAACTTCCCCTGTTACAGTTTTAAAACGTTACCCCTTGTCCTATCACTACAGTCCCCAATGAAGA